CGAGCACGACCTCTAGCATCGTAGCAAAAGCTCAACATAGGTATCGTACCTTATGATAGTCGTTGCAAGCTGTGGAATTCGAAGTACTGATGAGACCACGTAGAGGGCAGCATCATGCCCAGGTGTGTTAGCTAGGAACATTTGCGAGATATATGCTGTTGTTCCCTCTAGCCCGAGCTTTCGCGACAGCAGTAGAGCGTGACAAGCATTCTAGGCCCCTTGTACAGTCTCCATGATCCGTGCATGGACACATGCGCGTGTCAGCCAATGCTGACTTCGGGGCAGTAGAGTCCGGGGTAACAAGGGACGCGAAATGGAACCACAGTCCGTTGATACATAAGCCGTGGTGTCGCATGGCGATAGATCCACTTCCCCACACACTATCTCACATCATCGCTCAAGATGGGAGTCGCTGTTACGGTCTTTAGCGCAATCTTTCTGGCGACCGGAGGTAGGATTTCCAACTGGCAAGCGCACGAGCTCACAAGCTGCGTACTGATTCATCTACAGGTTTCCTTTTCGGATATGACTCTGGTATCATCACCTCTACCATCGCCCTTCCTACCTTCAAAGAGTACTTTAACGACCCTTCGGACGATGTCGTCGGTGGTATTGTGTCCGCCTTTCAAGGTGGTGCCATCGCCGGGACCATCTTCAACATGTTGTTCGCGGATGTGCTAGGCCGTCGCTGGACTATCTTCGTAGGAGCGGTCATCTCCATTCTGGGCAGTTCTCTTCAAGCAGGGGCTGTGAACATGGTTATGCTCATCATCGGTCGCTTCATCGGCGGAGTCGCAGTAGGTCAGCTCACTTCGACCATCCCTATGTACGCCGGTGAGCTGTCCGAGGCGAGATACCGTGGCACTCTCTCTGGTTTGCTGCAGTGGATGCTGAGCTGGGGATTCTTCGTCGCTCAATGGCTCGGCTATGGCTGCTCCTTCAACAGCACTCAGTTCTCATGTAAGTCGACCTAGACATGAGCCGCTGTCTTTTCCTGCTAACATGTCTCAGGGCGCTTTCCTCTCGCATTCCAGAATGTACCCGGTCTCGTCTTGCTTGCAGGCATTTTCTTCCTGCAGGAGTCTCCCCGTTGGCTCATGGAAAAGGATCGACATGAAGACGCCATGGCCTCGCTCAACAAGCTCCGAAGGGGCCACGACGCTGAGACAATCGATCTAGAATTCCGCGAAATCCGTGATGTCATCATCGCAGACCGTGCTCTGGGCAATATTAGCTGGCTCTCGATCATTACGAAAACCTCTTGGCGCAAGCGTCTTTTGCTGGGTTGTGGTGTGCAAGCATTCGGTCCGCTTTCCGGTATCAACGTTATCAACTACTACGGCCCGCGCATCTACGAGATCCTCGGGATATCGACACAGGAGTCACTCATGATCATTGGTATCAGCGGTGCTCTCTCAATCGTGTGGTGTACCATCGGACTGGCACTAGTCGACAGGTTTGGACGTATCAAGCCCCTTCTCATATCGGCAGCGGGCTTAGCGGCTGCTCTTCTCGTCAACGCAGTACAAGGGCAATACTTCGACCCCAACAATGGCGCGCAGCTGCGCAGTATGGTGGCCATGAACTTCCTCTTCTCCTTCTTTTACACACCTCTTGGCATCATCTCGTGGGTTTACCCTGCAGAGATTTTCCCCATCGAATGCCGCGCCCTTGGCAACGCCATTACGACTTTTACAAACTGGGTTGTGAACCTGATCTTCGCTCAGTTCTCTCCCCAAGCACTCAGCACGATTGAGTTCAAGTACTTTTACGTCTTCTTCTGCTTCAACATCGTTGCCTTTTTGTGCTATTGGTTCTTCTATCCGGAGACCAAAGGCAAGACCTTGGAACAGATGGACGAGCTGTTTGGCGATCAATTGGTACCGCATGCATTGCAAGATCCGGCAGCGGCATCGGCGGCTATGGAAAAGGATGAGAAGCTCCACGCGGAGATCGCGGTCGTCTGATTGCGATTTGATGCGGCCGGTGTTGGCGTTGAGCAGAAGGAATGTCAGAGGGAAGCTGCAGGTGGCGTTGTTGGAAGGTCAACCTCTGGTACGTGCGCGGTGTTTATAGCAACTTATAATCATATACGATGTGAGACCTTCCGAAATTCAATGTGACGTGTATAGAGTTGGCGCAGGCAGGGTGTCGATGCAAGCCATGGCGAAGGCGGAAAGCACATGTGCAGCCGGGACGAGCTAGTACGTAGGAGGAAAGGTGCTGTGCGTCATTGACCCCTAGGTCTCATCCCCGGCGACAGTTTCGGCCGCGAAGTAATCCCCGCCGGCCGCTGCATCCTCGAAGCCCTTCCCTTCCAACAAATCACGAACAGACCCCATCGTCACTGCCCAAATCGCGCCCGGCTTCCCCAAACACTGCTGCGAGCGAGACAAGCCACTCATGACTCCCGAAATACATAACCACCACACACGCAGAAGGTACTCCCCATCAAATGAGAGAGATTGCAATCCCCACACTCCCCAAACGCTGCACCCTCAATCTCCCAAAGCCCCGTTTGAGCAAGCAGCCCCCTCGGAAAAGGCAAACCACCAGTGACCCAGACCCTTCCGCGAACGCCAATCCGGCACTCCCACGCCACCGTCAGCAGAAAGCTACTGAATTCAATGAAGGTCATAGCGTGGAGAGGTAGGTAGATGGATTCAAATAGTTGTCATTCTTCCCAGGCAGTTTATCAATAAATCAGTTCGTAATCTCAACAAAGGCACCTCCAACCCAGATGCAGCCAGTGTAGACGCCTCAAACCCACTTCGATGCTGACTTGTTTCCTTAACAACACACTACCGATCTACAACACAACCTTCACTAAGCCCTCCATCCTTCATCAGGCTCTCCTTCCTTTACCAGGCTCTCCTTCCTTTATCGGGCTCTCCTTCCGTTACCAAGCTCTCCTTCCCTTACCAAGCTCTCTATACTCGACCCAGCCCTTCACACCATCCATCACTTCTCCTCCATACATTACAGCAACAATTCTCATCTCCAACCATCCCACGTGCTACAATGAGCTCGTTGACTGGATCGAATGCTTCGGAAAGGACGTCCCAGTCCTTAGCCCCTCGCCGAACGCCCGTTACCGAACAGTCGAGGCATCTGGAAAAACGACCAAAGATGCCAAAGCACCAGGCACCCTAGAAGTCACCCCAGTCGATCCTCTCATAGCGCAAGCCGATACTATCCTCAACGAACTCCAGCGGACGGAACTTGGCACCAGGTCGATGCTCTCAACCTTACCTCAGCTCGGTCAGAACTCTGAAGGCGACGTCAGCAACACCATCTTCCTGTATGTCATCGCGCCGATCATCGAGGTCTTGAATCACAAGTACGGAGACACCTTCGAGTACACGACCGAGCTGAGCCGTAGCATCGAAAAGGAGGATCAGGTGAACGACAAGGCGCATAACGGTGTGCGTTTTGACGCCGTCTTCCTCAAGCGCCAAGGCGGGGGGGTGATCGCACTACTCGAGTTCAAGAGGAAGGAGTACCTAGTGTACAGGGATTTTGAGGGGGCGCTGGTTGAAGAGAAAGGCTCGAGCCCAGATGGACTTCTCACACGCAACGGCGCCATATTCACAAAACAAATCTCAGCCTACGCAGTCAAAAGCGGGTGCAAACACGTCGCTCTCTTTAACTGGGACCATTTGCTCTTGTTTGACTTCTTCCAGCTCGAGAAAAAGAGTAACATGGAGAGGTTTATTGGGAAGAAGGCGAGGCTGACCTGGGTGGTAGAGAGGGAGGAATTGCGAGGGAAGCACATGAAACAGCACTTCATCAGGAAAGCCTTGTTGGGTTGGCTTCTCCGAGCCTTTGAGGACGCTGATATGACTCCAGCTAGCTGAGGTTGGCGTCTTGTTCGGTCATGTTTGGGGTTCTTTCTTCTTCTCGGTCTATAGTCTTCTTAATGTTTGGGGTTCTGGCGATGGATGGGTAGCATTAGACACTTCCAAGGTTCAATTCATCACTCTTACACTCAACGGATTATGAGCTCGGCGCTCCCAACGCCAACTACCTGATACCTTACTATCGCATCTTTGCATCGTCATACATTGTGTTCTGCACTCGTCGTCATTGTTGCTGAGAAGCCGTTGGTTGGTTGTGCTGAAACACGTCATCATCCACGGTACGTCCCACTTCCACCCCGCACCGGCCTCCCGTCCGCTCAGTCACGCCAGCCTGTGAAAAGCCTAAACACCCTAGAGCCTACGTTAACGTTAGGCTACCTACTTTGCAGGTCTTTGTCTTAATGTAGTCTGCAGGCCTGTTTAGTTTTTGTTCTTGTATGAGGTGCAGCCATATACAAGCATAATACCGGCGGATTAGTAGTTAGGTGGCCCCGCTGTTGCATGTTTTTGCACTTTTTTTTGCCATTATTTTGCAACAAGTCCGATAACCAGAGGCACCCCAGGAACGACGAGCATGCTGTCCCGGGACATGACAGGTGGTCTCTGCTACCCTTCGAGCGGCCCTTTCCGTTTCCAACAGCTCTCACGTCGACTCAACCTTACCATAACTATATCGTAAGTAGTCACAACCGCTCAAACTACCGCATTCTTCTTGCTTGGATATCTGCCCCAAAGCAACTCACAAGGTCGAAGAGGGGCTCAGAGGTCGACTAAGCCGATACCTTCTACCTTGTCATGTTCAAACTCGCGAAGTCGCTCTTTCGAAGGCAGCCATGGCCCCAGCTCAAATTTCCGACATCTAGTATTGAAGTCGTCAGCGACGCGCTATCGTTTGAGGAAGAACAGTTTGCGGAGTTCCACAGGGGCCTCTACTATCCTGTCAACATAGGAGATGTCTTCGCGTCGAAGTACCAAGTAGTAGGCAAACTTGGTTTCGGTGTCACGTCAACTGTTTGGCTGGCCCGTGATCTACAGCAAGTTAGCATTCGGCAATAGGACTATGCCATCCATACTAACAGAAAGCCAGCCGCCATGCCTATACGACCTTGAAAGTGTTCACACGAGAGGAAATGGACCAGGATGAGTACGACAGGTACAACATCTTAAGCAGAGGCAATGCTTCGCATCCAGGATACCACCACGTCCGGAGAGCCCTCGACTTGTTTACCATACCTCGACAAGGCGGCGATCATCGATGTCTTGTCCAAAAACCAATGTGGGATAGCTTCAAGGATCTCTTGAACAGGAACCCTACGCACCGTTTCACGGACGAGCTGCTACGAGCTGGGTTGTCGCAGATGTTCCTCGCCCTCGACTACCTTCACACAGAAGCCAAGGTCATACATACAGGTACGGCCTACCTAACGCATGTCTTTCCGCAATCCTGTTAACAAGGATGCAGACATAAAAGCCGACAATATCCTCATCGAAATCGAAGATCAAGACATCTTGAAAGCCTTTGTCGACGCTGAACTGACATTACCCTCGCCTCGAAAAGTCGTAGAGGGAAAGCCAATCTACGCGACACGCCAGTTTGGAATACCGAAAGAATACGGTCGTGTTGTCCTTGGAGACTTTTGGCTCTGCAGTCCGTGGCGACAAACGTCAGATTCACGATGCGCAGCCAGATGTCTACCGCTGTCCAGAGGTCATGCTGAAGACAGAATGGGGATTTCCAGCCGACATTTGGAACGTGGGAGCGATGGTGTGTACCATCTTAAGCTTGAGGATGGCCAAACTGGACATTAATCGAGGTGCAACAGATTTGGGACCTATACGAGGACAAGCACCTCTTCCACGGCATCGACCCAACCAAAAAGCGCTACCTCACTAGAGCCCCCCACATCGAATCCCAAAACAGGAGGCAAAGCACAACCAACTGCATACTCGTCATCGTTGGAAAAAATATATACACCAAGAAATGCTACCACTGTTGGGGTATTGAACCATACAGAACCAAAGAAACCGTCAACTCATGAACCAGCCCGCTTTCGTATGCTTGCCGAAACGCGCCTTCGTAACTCCTGATATAACACCCTGTGAAACATGTAGCCAAAGCCCAACGCCGAAGCCAGAGCCGAAGCTCGGTCATCTTTTCCCATCTTCTCACCATTCTTCTCCGCCTTCCCAGACAGCAGACTTCAGTCTTTTCCACTCCACTCCCCATCCCCTCATACCAGGCGCAAACCCTCCACCACCACCACCGCACATCCAACCCCCATCTAATAAACCTCCCCATGCTCCTCCTTCGGCTTATACATAATCGTCGTCAAAAACTATATCCACACATTAGCATGCATCCTCATCCCCATCATCCACTTCCCCCACAAACTCTTCATTTCACATACCTTCTGCTTATACCTCGTCGTAGCACTAGTAGCCAAAATATTATCCTTAATACTACTCGTCGCCAGATGATTCAGCACAGTATGATTCGGATGAATCAACACACTGCTATCATCCTTCATCGGCGTCGTGCCGTTCAATATGCTCTTGCCCAGGAACCCGGGGAGGGAGGGCGGCGCAGGCAGATTGTTCGTCATGGCGTTTGCGCGCGCGAAACGGGATGATTCCTCTGGCGCATCGAGATCGAGGAGGTAGCGGGGGATGTTTTGGTGGTATTTCTTTGTTGGTTCAGGAACCACCGGTTTGGCTGGTTCGATTGGGGGTGCGGTGATGGAGGCGGGGTCTAGGTCCGGGGTCGGGGGAAGGATTTGGGGCGGGTACATGCCGGCTGGGGCTTCGCGTTCTTGGACGGGGGTTGCGGCATCGAGGGGGTCGGTGGCTGCGGCGGCGTCTTTGGCTGGGGGGCTGGCGGGGAGGGGGGTGAGTTCTGGGTAGGGGACTTCGATGTAGTTTACGAGGATGTTGGTGTAGTCTACGGCGGTGGGGAGCTTGTCGCTTGTGCGCATGTCGTTGTCGACGAGGAAGGTGAGGTGGTGGGTTCCTGGGGTGACGGAGACGTAGGCGGAGAGGGCATCTTTTTTCTTGCTGGGGCCGCTGGGAGATGTTAGTACTGTCGGTGTGTGGTGTAACCTCGAAGGCGGCAGATGCAGATCAAGTTCGAGGCGCAACCCTCGTATACGTCTGCCTGCATCCACCGTTCTAGCCAGGCGCATGACTGTCCCACCAATCATGCCTGAGACACCCCAAGAAATCGAAACCACTTACTTCCTATGCAACTTATATTTCCGATTCCACCCCGCAAAAGTGCCCGTCACATAAACCCTCTCCCCACTCCCCTCCCACTCAATCAGCGTCGGCACAGTCGGCCTCCCCTGCCCCGGCCCCTTGAACTCCTCGCCCAGATCCTCATCATCCGCCGTCGTCGTACTCAGCATACTCGATCTGCGCGGCAACATGCCATCGGCATCGCTCTCGTGGACAGGCGTCCATATTTCCTGGGGCGAGATGATGGGGCTGCCGGGGGTGTGTACTTCTTCTTCTATGGGGAGGGGCAGGCGCGGGGGGCGCGAGAATTGGGATGCGGGAGGGAGGTAGTCGGAGGCGGAGGCTGGGTCGAGGGAAGAGGGGATGGCGGAGGAGAGGGGTGGGGAGGAGCTTGATGCGAGGGTGGAGGGGACGTCGACGGGGGCGGTGGGCGAGGGCGCGCGGGGTGAGGTTTCTGTCGAGGGCGCTGGGTCAATGGGCGCTGCATCGGGTACAGGCGCTGGTTGCGGGGGAGTCGCATCGCGGGAGGCGGCATGGGCTTGCTTGTCCTTATCCTTGTCCTTGTCGCTGCTGCGGAAGTGGGCGCCCTTCTGGCTGCTCTGCTCGTTGCCCATAGCGGCGTCGTGGGTGTGGGCCGAGTGGTTGCGGGCCTGGGTGTTGTTGTAGTGGTCCTGGGCGGCCTGCAGCTGCGAGGTAATGGCCCTGGTGCTAGTTCCCACGGTTTGCGCTCTCCCACGCGAGATGGGGCGGGCCGACGTGGGATGGCTCTCAGCGTCGACGAGGCTCACGCTGGGAGCCGCGGGGGCTTTGGCCGCACTGAGCGCCTGGATCGACTCGCGGCGGCGGGCGCTGTGGTGCTGGCTGTGCGGGGGGTGAAGGTGCGGCAGGTGGTGGTGGTGTTGGGGTCGCTCGTGCCCGTGGCCGCTGCCGCTGGGATTGCCGTGCCCGTGGCCATGTGATGCAGTCACGTTGTTGGTGGGCGAGGCCGGGTTCGACGTCGGCGTCGTCGACCGCGAATTCTGGTTCCCCATGGATACGCCCGCTGGATGTGCACGAGGGCGACGTTACAGGACTGAAGCTGGAGCTGGCCCCGGCCGCTGGATTGCATGCAGCGCCTCACAGGGATTAGCATTTCCATGGCTGCACCCATCGCCGATAGCTCAATGCACGAGCCAATGACACCTATCGTGGGGCAGTCGGCCCTGTATCGTGAGTCGCGCCCAAACACCACCAACGCGTCAACACATCTGCCCGCGCGGATATGGACGCGAGCACCGTCTTCTCAGTCGTCGCACGCATCTCCGTGCAACTGGCACGCGTGATTTGGTTTCCCATCAACAAACTCATCAATCTCGTCGTCATCCTATTACTTCCATTCTACAACGTCATCACATTCGTCCTGTTACCCTTCATCCACCTCGGGCAATCAATCATCAGAGTGTTATCGATACCATTTAGCGTCAAGTGGTTGGAGAGGATAGAGGTATTCAATCTTGATCCATTGCGTGCAATCTTTACCATACTAATCTATAAAGACACTCTATGTCTACTTCGGAACAGCCAGTCTCATAGGATGCATTACCGGCACCATCATCTTTGTCATCTTCAGATTCCTCTCATCGACCCTCAAGATTGACGCACCCATCGTGCCCAAGGAGCCTGAACAGGGAAGAACAGCCGCCGAGTACAGGGCTGCGCGGCGTGTGAAGAGGGAGGAACCCATCGACCATTCACCGAGTGCGACGCCCGTGGTGTTGAAAAAGGTTGCTGGGCCTCGCAGGCGGGGTCTGCTCTCACAAGCCATCATCGAAGAAGAGGACTCCGACTTTTGACCTCGTCCAGCCTGGTCAGACGATATCGTTGGGGACAGATACCAGAGTAGAATGACCAGAGTCTCTCCATTGTGAATCCGAACGTATGCTGGGGCTCCGATGAAGCGTGGTCGATGTGTGATCTTTGCTGAGACCTAGCCTGCTTGGAGTCTTTCCCTCGTCAACCTTGTCTGCATCATCCGAAAAGAGGTTCAAGGAAAGGTCCGACATTGAAATTTTCTTTCGCATCGGAGGCTGTGCTGCAGGTCGTGGAACTTGCGGGCACGTGTTTTGACGTGCCGATGGCCTACAGCATGTCAGCTACGAGTAGATTCAAGGCTCGTTACTCACGCTGCAGAACCGCCCTCTTTCTCGTCGGTACCAGCCAATGTGAGCCAGTGCAATACCACAGCAGCCCACGTGACTGTTGACATTCGGTTAGCCAGATTCACAACAAGCTGGTGGTGAAAGTACCATCCAACGTGCAAATCGTATAGCAGACCTGTCGCCACCAAAACACGTCAGTGAATGCCTTCATGTTCAGTCAGAGCTCAACGGACAAAGGCCAGTTCGTTTCCCTGCAGGATGCACAGAGAGGCAAGATTTGCGCCAGTCGGCACGATAACAAGGACTGTTCCCCAGAAAGTCTTCCACAGCAGAGTCTCAACTTTCTTTGCCATGACTTCGTTTGATCGATGAAGGTTCGGCGTGGCTTTATTCTTTGTCTGACTACAAATATTGTCGATCCACAGCGCTAAACGGCTCGGGAAACTGGCGCTCGAGGTTTGGCCGCCTCTGACCAAAGGGCTCAAGAGGTAAACAAACACAAGCGTGAGGTAGACGTTGATGACAATATCGCATGTCAAGAGCGGGACGCCCGTGTATCGCTTGACACCAATGCGGCAACGTCCATCGTCGGAGATCCAGAACACCGGTAGGATGAATGCGACACATCCAATGGTACCGAGGCTCACTACGATGCCGATTGTGCTGTACAGCCATAACGGATCATGATAGCGCGTCATGTAAGGTGCTCGTAGGGCGTGCGCTCGCTCGACGAGAAAGAGATACCTACCCACCAAGCCGGGAATTAGTTTTTCCAATCCATCCATGATCTCTCTAGAAGGGACCGCCTCACATGCTCACTTTACTGCCGGCATAGAAGACGATGCACAGTCTCATGGCGACCTTGCAGACAGCGTTTGTTCCTAACCCTAGGCCGTTGTTTACGACTGCGGCCGAGAAAGCGAAGCCAATGGAGAGGAAGTAGAGGATGAAGACGTAGACCTGGGTCAAGGTTATGCGATTGAAGGGCTGGCGGTCAAGTATTCGAACGCGATATCCTGTTCGTGTCAGTTGTACGTTGCATCTAGATGAAGCGACCAGTCTTGCGTACCAAGTAGCCCAGATAGCAGGATGACGCAGAACTTGGAGGTTACAACAAATGATGTACGTGGTCCAGGCGGTTCCCCAGGATAAACATCCGCTCTGTCTGGCAATGTAGACTTATCGATCGAGATGGCCGCCGATAAGACCGCGGCTACTAGCAACGTCCATAGTCCGAGTCGGATCAGCATCGTGGTAGGAGTTGTTGTGCAGAATACCAGCTGAATGGAAGTTCAAGTAAGAGGTTAAGTTGGTGACATGGCTAGGAGGTACTGATAGGTCGTAGGGCGTTGTTTGGCACGGTAAAGTCGAACAAGGTGAAGAAATGAAGGTGCCTTGCCCTCGTGCAGTGAGTTCAGCACGCTGCAGTTGACACTCAAGCGTCGCTTCTCTCATATCTCATATGGTGGGAGGCGCGACGGCGAGTAACAGCTTCTCGAATAAGCGAGGAAATCTTTCGGCCAGTCGACCTTCCTTCATCGATGCATGAAACGACGACGTCCAACACACAAGTATCACTCGACAGCGATTTCGCAATTCAAGATGAGACCTCAGGCGGATCACTGACTTGTTGCACAACGCGGAGTAAATTCGACGGCATGCGACCCGACAGAATCAAGATGATCGCACGCGCTGGAAAGGCTCGGCTACAATGTAAGGAGACCTCGGAGGTCTTGGCGAAGACCCTTCTCCACACATTCAAGTGGATGCTAGTAGCAACCGAATCATGAGTTGTGTACTCCGCTCCAGCCTGGTACCGTGCTACCCGCGGAACAATTCTTAATCAACATCGTCATTGTGTAGAAAAGGCGTGGTGTTGGTACGTCATGGAGCTCGCTTCCTGCCGTGGGAGTAAGAGACCAAGTACCAGGGTCACGATAGCAAAAACTACCGAGACAGCACTGAATGCGCCGACTGTCGAATTGGGCGCTAGTCTACCAAGGTCCATCTCTTTGCTGGGTTTTCTCCCAGTTTGGTGGGTCCTGATCGACTAGCAGCAGGTGCAAAAGAAATTTGCCCGCCAAACACACGCCAGGGCGCCTAGCAACGGCGTGTACATAAACTGCGGGCTGTTAGCTTCCAAGGTTATCGCGCGTACTGCGCAACTGCTTGGACGACGTAGGAGACATGTGAGCTGCTCTTGGCTGGCGGCGTAGGAATGTGGGAACTGGTGGGAAGCGAGTGTGAGAGATGTAGCGCGCTGCAGCATCGCGTCATAGGCGGGACGGAAATGCCTCACTACACAGCCTCTCGCGACGATGACGGCTTATGGAACTGGCTGCGAGTGAGAGACGGGGCTGTTTGTGTTGACTGCGCAGTGAAATTGGACCCAAGAGCGGTGGAACAAGGCGAGCACACTCAGATATTCACCGCAACGGTGTGGGGGTGGATGGTCGCAGCTCGAACCGTGTTTGACATGTGAAGTGCCTGGAGGGGGCAGGCGCGAACCCCGTTAGCGTGCCTCCTGAGATTGGGCGTCTGTGCACAGCCTCACTCTAGCCCTCTAGACGCGCAGCGCTCGTCTTTTGTCTCACGCCCACGCCTCTGCCCTTTCTCCCTCCCTCTCCCGCCAAGTACTAGACGGACGTTGATGCTTGCCGGATGCTTGATTTATACCTCTTTTAATACCACATCTCTATCCCGCCCTCGCGCCTTTTCTTCACTCACCACCCAGTCCGTGCACAACGATCCATCGGGAAAGGAGGCAGAGAACAATACAGCAACCATGCGGAGAGGCGTCACCATATTCCTGCTCGTCACCATCGTCGTCCTCGGCTTCGCGGTACACAGCGTGTGGACACTGCTCGGTCTTCTGATTGCGACCGGCCGCGAGGATGCCATTCTCCGCGGAGAACTCCCTGCGCCCAACTCGAGCGCGATTAGTGATGCGCCGCAATTGATCCCCAAGATCATCCACCAGACGTACATCAATGACAGTATACCGCTGCACTGGAAGGGCCCCCAGCAGAGCTGCCTGGACCTCCACCCCGACTACGAGTACAAGCTGTGGACCGACAAGAAGTCGCGCGAGTTTATCGCTCAAGAGTAGGCGCTCCTACGTCCACATCACGCGAGGTTTCAGCTAACATCGTCAGATACCCATGGTTCCTCGAGACTTTCGACGGCTACCCCTACCCTATCCAGCGCGCCGATGCTATTCGCTACTTTGTCCTGCACCACTTTGGTGGAATATACATTGACCTGGACGATGTACGTATGACATGTCCTCCTAACTGTCGCAATACTAACATTCTCAGGGATGCAACCGCAGTCTCGACCCGCTTCTTGCCTACCCAGCCTGGGTCCGCCGCACCATTCCCACTGGTATCTCCAACGATGCCATGGGCGCGGTCCCTCGTCACCCTTTCTTCCTCAAGGCCATCGACTCCCTGACCGACTACAACCGTCGCTGGCCACTCCCCTACATCACCGTCATGGCCTCAACCGGACCTCTCTTCCTCAGTCTTGTGTGGAGACATTACAACAACGCCGGCCCCATCGACCAGAACCGCGTGCGCATCCTGTTCCCCGAAGAATACAACAACCACCCCTGGAGTTTCTTCACCCACCACCTCGGAAACAGCTGGCACAGGACTGACGTCAAGATCATCTTCTGGCTCGCCAAGCACTGGCTCCTTGTCACCGTCTTCGGATTCGTTGTTGGATTCGCAATCCTCGGCATGTTGTACAAGTTCTTCATTCTCAACAAGCGCACGACCGGACCTGGATCGCCAAAGATGCGCTACTTCAACCAGAGGATGCCCTTCTACCGTCGCATCAGCCAAAAACGAAGCTTCGAGCTCGACGACCGCCACGAAGTCTAATCGCACCATCCAGTCCACGCATTGCATTGTTTCAGCGTTACGTCCGTTCACATGTCTTGCATTTATCCGGCGTTTTCCACGATCATCATCGCAGCCGCCTCGTATTTTCGCTTCTTCGTTACCCTACAACACTTTTTGTTCGCTTCTATCCACATTATTGATCGAGGGCTGCGTTGCCCTCCTAGCTTGTTTAACTGTTGTTTTCACTGTGGTGTTTAGACCGCAACCGGCGCTGTTGGTATACATGAAAAAGGCTGGACCACTGTCGTTGTCAGAAGAAGGAGACTCCGGGTGGAATCCTCATAGAAAGGGAAAGGGCCAGACCGGGGCCGGACCGCGGAGGCATCAGGATGAAAGACCGAAGAGCTCGGCTTGAGGATGCGAAGTGTTGTTATCTAGATAGAAGAAGAAGCGTTATTGCTTATGTTAATATGAAATGTATTGAGTCATCATCATCCTGAAGTGTACATCAGGCCGTGACTTTTCATGCACGTGTCGAGTATGAGATGATGACTGCGTATCGCTCTCAACCAAAACAAAGATAACTAAACAGACCTCCCATTAAGAGGATCTTCCATGTTCAACTGCGACCACGAACGGTTGAGGAACTATGTCTTTCCGAGGTTTCCGAACGACATGCGAACACGCAAGTATTGCCCCACTTGTTTCCCTCATCCGCATATGATTGGCCTCCAAGCCCTGACCCTTCCGCCTCGCTACTTCCCTCCCCTTGTCATCAAGCTTACTATGTTCGTAACCATATTGCGACGTCGCGTGTGCCAGGGCAATGCTGGCATGTACGTTGCTGGT